TGGACATCCCAACCTCATCTTTATACACACACACACCTCTTCTCTCTTGGCAATGCAGCCAAGGTTAACCTTCAACTAAGAATTCTTTTTTTTTTTTTTTTTTCCCTCAACTTGTTATTTTTAAGTGCTATCGAGTTGGATCTGGCCCACAGCAACCCTGTATAGGGATTCTGAGGAGCAGCTGATGGGTTTGAACCACTGACTTTGCAGCTAGCAGTCCAGTGTTTACCCTACAGCACCATTGTAGTTGCATGCTATCATTCTAGTCTATTGACATAACTCTGAATTTTTCCTTTTTTTTGAAAAAATACCTTGTCTTCCTGTTTTTTGTCTGTCACCCTAAGATGTGATATACACCAGTACTGAGGATGTCAAAAGGGCCAAGCATAGACCCCCACATTATGCTTTGGAAAATTACTCCAGGTTGCCATCAATTCACCAACCAGTAATTAATTCTTAAAGCTGATCAACCATCTCTGAATTCACACAGCTATGCTGTGAGATCACCCACAGTTCTTCCTCCTTGCTCAAGGTTATCACGACAGGCTAAAACCGAGATTCACGAGGTCTATCCTATCTCCAATCTGTCAGCCTAGAAACCCTGCTAATAAATGTGAAATAAGATTAGCTCCACCTGGCTTTTCTAAAAGATCCCTTACACTGAAAATAATAATAAACAGCCAACGCATTGCCAACAAGTTGATTCCAACTCACAAGAACCCTTTAGGTCAGACGAGAATGGTTTCTCTTAACGGAAGCAGACTGCCTCATCTTTCTCCGTTGGAGCGGCTGGTGGTTTCTTAGCAGCTGAGCGTTTTTAACCAGTGCCTAGCCTGCCGACACTTACATTGTTGTGTTGTTGTTGTGAGGTGCTGTTGAATCAGTACGTACTCATAGTGACTTTGTGCACAACAGAACGAAACACTGCCCTGTCCTGCGCCAACCTCACAATTGTCATACTGCTGCCACTGTGGCAATCCGTCTCGTTGGGGGTCGTCCTCTTTTTTGCTGACTCCCCACTTTAAAATGGATGTGTATAGTTGTTTCTACTCACTTTAAGTTGTGCAAATAAAGGTCCCAAATTCCTTCCTCATTCACATTCTACTTTGAGGAGGCAGCTCTTCCCCAGTTGTATTTTGAATGCCTTCCAACCTGAGAAGCTCATCTTCTAGCACTGTATCTGACAGCATTATAGTGCTCTTCATCATGTTTCAGTATTCTGGTGCTATCTGACAGTGTTCCACTGCTCTTTATAAGGTGTTCAGTGACTACACATTTGGAAGTAACCCAGCTCTCCTTCTTCCTAGTCCGTCTTCGTCTGGAAGCTCAGCTGAAACCTGTCATCCATGGGTGACCCTGCTGGTATTTAAATACCCATGGAATAGCTTCCAACATCAGAGCAACACGCATGCCCCCACAGTACGACACACTGACAGGCGGGTGATGGGACACTTCCATGCTGTTATTTATACTCTTTTTAAACAGCCTCATGGCATGTAATGAATGCCTTTCTAAATCTTTACCAAGGGCCAGCCTGTAACATAGTGGTCTCAAGTTTCCATCCTCATTTTAAGATGAGGATGTTTGCTTCTTTTTGCCTTCTGACTCCATTTCTATTTCCTGTGATTTCGGAAGCATTGCTAGTGGGAGCTCTCGGCACCCTTTTTTTCCCCATTTGCCACCGGACACTTGAACTCACTCACGGGAAGCAGCTTGATATGTTGCTCCTATCAGCTTCCCTAGCAAGAGCTTTTGTTCAGTATTTATGTCTTGCTTTTCAGATCCAAGAATTACTCTCTTTCCCAAAGAACCTAGAAACAAAATTATGAATAAGAGGCCATCACCACCTCCCTTTCGATCGGTTAGTTGGAGAGTTCAGTCGGAACTGAAGGTCCTGAAGACCTTCCCCGTTACTGGGGAAGGATTTGGACTTCTCTACCACTTTGAGGACGGGCGTATGAAGCAGTAGCCGTGCTCTGAAGAGTTTTTAATGGTTGTGATTTCCAGACTTTTCTTCGGAGGCACACTTATAGATGAGTATGAACCACCAGTTTTTGGGTTAGTAGCCAAGCTCTTAGCTATTTGCACCATTCAGGACTCCCCCTGTGAGGATGCAAGGACATTATCTTGTGTTTATGTTCCTTCTGGATAAAATGTCTCAGCTAGTAACATTTTCCTGGGATTATAAAGCTGGCATTGTGGTATGCTACAATTCTAAGGACTAACTGTCCTTGTTTAGGAGTGCCGGGGGTGGGTCTGTGGAGCCCTGGTGGCATGGTGGTTAAAGCATTCCGTTGCTTAGCAACTGCTCTGCAGAAGAAAGGTAAGGCCGTCTGTTTCTGTGAAGACGGCAGCTTTGGAAACTCTGTGGGGCAGTTCTCCTTTGTACTGCAGGGTCACTGTGAGCCAGAATTGCCTCGATGACAATGGATTTGGGGGGTTTTTGGGTGCTGCAAATTATTAACTTGCTTAGCTCCTAGCTGTAAGATTGGAAGTTCAGACTTACACAGAGATGCCTCGGAAGACTGGTCTGGTGATCTGCTTCCTTGATGTCAGCAATTTGAAAACCTTGCGGGGTACAGTTGTGCTCTGACACACATGTGGGGGCGGGGGGCAGAGTAGAACTCAACACAGCTGGGGTTTTCGGTGCGTGTTTAATTCACGTGCACAAGAAAAAGTGCTTGAAGTATTGTAGCATTTTGAGCAAAGCTAAGGTACTCTACTTGAAGACCCACGTGGACCCCAACAGACTGTTTCTATAAATGTGTCACCTAGTCCTCGGGCTTTCTCTCTACCTGAGGTGCTCAAAGGTGTTTACCACGCCGAAGGCCTTCCCACATGTTATAGTCCCTACAGCTTCCGCCCAATGTAGACTTCTCCACGTTAGCATTCAGTCCATCTTTCTAAAATAGGCTTGTAGTAACCTGTGTTACTACAGGAGCTCTGGTAGCGTAGTGGCTACGAATCGGGCTGCGAACCTCAAGGTCAGCAGTTCGAAACTACCAGCTGTTCCGCAGGAGAAAGATGAGGCTTTCTGCTCCCGTAAAGATTTACAGCCTCGGAAACCCTGTACAGGGTCGCTATGAGTCGGAACCGACTCCACGGCACATAACAACAGCAACATGTGTTTTTAAGAGCAAATCCAGGTCATTACTTAGCAGCTTTTTCTGTTATTATTTCTTTGTTGGTACATTTTCTTCTGGGCTGGGCAGATCGCTGACCCTGCAGTATTGGGTCTGTCACCACTACCCAGATTCGGTTGAATGGCCTTTGTTCTGCAGCCCCACTGAACCCGAGTCTGTCTCCGGCCCCAGCACCCTAACTTCCTCCTCTGAACCTCTTACAGTGCAACGTGTAAAGGCCCGGGATTGGTCTGTTGTTACCAGCATCTCGTGCTTCACAGATCACATGATCTGAGATGGCGTGTCGGCACTGGTATCTGTCCCCTAGTCCACACCACCCGTCCACCTGCCCAAAGCTCCAAGTAGGAAGCAGTTAACATTCACCTAATTGGATTCTTTATTTCTGTCATGCGCTCACACACCTGCTCCTCTCAACACTGCGAGCACCCCGTCGCTCCTCATCGTAGTGGGCCTGGACCAGCCCACAGCTGCTGCCCACCCCTCTGCCCTGCCCACCTCTAGGGTGTATGCTCTTCCACCTGTACGTATCTCGTGTCATCCCAGTCCTTAGGAACTTTCTAGAGCTTCCCAGAGTCCTGGTGCGGGCTGTAGGACAAACATGGATAACCACAAGATCGGCAATTCAAACCCATCAGCTGCTCTTGGAAACCATGGTGGTGGTGGTGCTGTGCCATGGAGTCGGTTCCTACTCCTAGTGTGCCTATAATAGTGTTTCTGAGGCTGTAAATCTTTATGGGAGCAGAAAGCCTCATCTTGCTTCTTCGAAGCAACTGGTGGATTCGAACTGCTGACCTTGCGGTTAGCAGCTTGTAATCCACTACGTTACCAGAGCTCCTACACAGGGTCAGTATGAGCTGGAACAACTCACTGGTACTTCACAACAGTTTCTGTGGGCCTGTCTGATGCCCGCCTGTCTGATGCCCGCCTGTCTGATGCCCTTCAAGTTTTCAACGAAGACAAAACCGCCTTTCCCTGCCTGGCCCTCCTGACCGGTCCGACTTCACTTTCCAATACCACTGTCCCTCCTGTATCTCTGCACTGCCCGACTCCCAGCATGCTCTCCCAGTCTTAGAGCCATACCCACGTCCACCCTGGACGTCCCCTGTCGATGCATTCCCTCAGTAGTGGGGCCGGGAACGCAGGCTGTGTACGCCTATGGGGGCTGTCTTCGCCTCAAGCAGAGTCCAACCTAGATGTGATGGAGAGTATCCCCAAATCTGTCAAACCCACGCCACAGGAGGAAAACCAGTGTTACTATGTCAGAAGTCCCATGCCCGAGACCTTGGGAAGTGTGGCTGAGTGTCTTGCCCATTGATGGTCAGGACTTTGGGGCTCTCTTTCAAAGTTTGGGGAAAGGGGCAAGCTGGCCATTCTGATGGCATTCAGGAAATGGGTTTGATTATTGTCCCGAGCAGCGTGTCTGAGCAGGGTACTGTGATAACACGCCATCCCTTTTAACTGTCACTCCAACTTTCCTGAGGTAAGTATGACCGCCATCCCCCACAAGTTATATATGAAGAGCTGGGCTCAGAGATGTGGAGAGTATCTTGCTAAGACCTCACACCCCTAACAAAACACTTCCCATCGATGCATTTGGAACAAACACGTCCTAAAACCTGGAAGGAAGAGATGTGGAGGGGAAGGGGACCTAGCGGTGTGAGGGAAAAGGAAGATTAGTCCCAGCAAGCGACTGTGTGGGACCCATTTTCCCCCGCTTTCTGGAGAAGGGTGTATGAGGTGCCATGTGTAACCCTGGGTGACCTTCCAGCAATCCTCTGCAGGCAGGTGAGCTCCCCACAGTCACCAGGATGAAAACCCCGGTCTTCTGACACCAGTATTCTTTCTACTCTACCGCAGGTGTAACGTGGAGAAGGTGCCCAGTAATTCTCAGTTGGAAATAGAAGGAAACAGGTCAGGATTTGTCTTGTTATGACCCTGTCTCGAAACCCAGGTACCCCTTGGTTCATGAAATGGGCTGGTGTCGAGCTGGCTTTGGAAGCAATGTCTTCCACTCACCTGCTGCTTGGAGTGGGGGGGCTGGGGTACGACGGAAGCACAGCAATGCTGAAACGCTGTGTTGAACGTGGGTGTTGAGCACTCCACAGATGCGCTTGGTACCAAGGTGGGCCTGCTGCCTGGGCTGCTATTGGCTTCGATGTAGCGGGCTGCTTGGTGTTAGAAGCTCAGTGAGAAACACCTCTGCTTGCTGGGCCTCTGGTTGTACGTGCAGAAGCAGGTTCACGTACAGTGTCTTACGCTTTGGGCTTAACCACACCGAGCAGGGCCTCCAGCCTGACTCCTGGACTTACCTGCCGTGGATGGCCCTTCGCACACCTGTTCATCCTCTTTGTGCCTCCGTGTCTGTCGGGTGGAGAACAGGCGCGCCTCTCGGAGAAAGCGTGCTGATGTAGATGATGCTGATGAGCAGGAGGGAGTCTGTGTAACCCATTGGCGTTCCGAGCGGCTGCAGGCGCCCCTTTATTGTGCTTCGTAGATGTTGGGTTCTGTAGAAATAGAAAGTATCTCACCCCATTTTTCCCAGAAGTCTGTGCTCCCTCTGTGTCTCCAGGTTCCCGTTTGGGGCACTCTCATAGTAGTTCAAAATGTTCATCACTCTGCAGCCCACTTCAAGATGACAGGAGAGTGCTGGCATCACTTTTACACACACCTTGTGGTTAGCAGTCCAGTGCTTATTCTAAAGCATCACACCAGGGCTCCTCTGTCTTTCGTAATCGCAGTACTGGCTTTATGGTGGTGGTCTGGAACTGAACCCGCAGTATCTCCCAGGAACGCCTGCATCCATGTTTTTATATTAACACTTCCCCCTTTTGAATCAGCTGTGCTTTCAAAAACAAAAAACCGGTAACAGTATTTAGCCATCCATATGCCAACATCTTTTGCTACATGCATAGATAGGGCCCCGGGCAGGAGAGAGTTAAGGCTGTGTGCCCTGTATTTCAGAAATCCTAGTGGTTACAAGTCTGGCTGCTGACTTTAAGGTCAGCAGTTTGAAACTACCAGCTGTTCTGCGGGAGAAAGATGAGGGTTTCTGCTCCTGTAAAGATTGACAACCTCAGAAACCCTGTACAGGGTCACTATGAGTCGGAACCGATTCCACGGCATATCACCACCACCACCACCACCTGTCCCTAGCTGCAACATTCTTCCTTATATAGGATCCAAACAGTGGAGGGAGGGATACCTGTATCCACCCAAATCTGTATGAGTCCCAGGTGATGCAGAAAGTTCCAAACCCACACAGAGGTGCCTTGGAAGAATGTCCTGGCATTCTACTTCCCAAGGGTCACAGCCTTGAAAAGTCTATGGAGCACAGCTCTACTCTGCACACTTGGGATGCATCAGTGGATTCCACTCAGTGAAAAATATTTTTGATAAGCATTGGACTGCAAACCACATGGTCTGCGATTTGAACCCGCCAGCGGCCGCGTGGAAGAAAAATGAGGCTTTCTGCTCCTGCTAAGATTTAATAGCCTTGGAAACCCTATACGGGTCATTGTGAGTCGGAACTGACTCCACGGCACCTAACAACAACAATAAAAGCTAGGAAGTATGGTGGCTTTATGCGACAAGTATTTCAAGCCACCAACCACTCAGTCAATGGGTTAAAGGTGAAGCTTTCTGCTCCCACAAAGATTTACAGCCTTGGAAACTATACAGGGTCACTATGAGTCACACCAACTCAAGGCAATTAAGAAAAACAATAAGAGATGAAACTATTGGACAAGGCTGCCAACCTTCGGTTTTTCTTACTGGCTTGCCGCTTGGTGAACAACTATTGCTGCTGAAAGCCAGACATACAAGCCACTTTGCCACTGAGAAGCATCAAGAATCGCACTCCATTTCTAGCATCACGTGTATTTGAGTTTGGGGACTGAAACAGCAAACACCCAACTGTCCTATTTTGGGCCATGGGAATAGCAAACCCGCCTGGGGAAACACGTTTCTTTCTACCCACCACCCAGATAGCTGGTAACTGGGAGAATGTCTTCCATTCTCATGGAGGCCGGGTTCTTGGTCTTGGATGGACAATGAGACATTTGATGGGGGAAGAAGGTTGGAGAACCTTCTAGTCATGGGTGGGGAATGGGCAAGGTCCTAGAAGGAGGAATTGGTCATTGGGGGAGGGGGTTCCACAGGAGAGAGCCTCTTCCTGATTGTAACAGAAGACGGGTATTAATTAATACAGATGATTTGTATTCATGCAAAGACAGTCGATTCTGGAGGATTTTGAACTAGCACCCTGGAAGTGGAACTGAGCCAGACTGAGAAACACGGATAAAGATGGAGAACCAACAGTCTCAAGAAGACATCCTAGACAGTCTTTAGGTCCTTTTTCCCCTTCTCTTCTCAGGACTCCCACTGGCGGATTTTCAGGATTCAATTGCCAGACCTTTCTTCCTAGTCTGACCTAGTCTAGAAGCCTCAGTGAATCCTGTCCAACATCAGGATGATGCCAAAGCCTCCACTGCCAGCCAAGGTGGTAGGTAGCTTTGCACACAGTGCATTGGCCATGCATTAAACCCTGGTCTCGCTCACAGAAGGCAAGAATTCTACCACTAAAACGGATCACTGCTGTCTCGGTCCCGTTATGCACGGGGTCACCAGGAGCTGGGAGCAGCCTGCCCTTAACAGCGGGAAGTAGGAAGTAAGGAAGAATATGATGGCATCCCAAAACCAAACCCACTGCCATTGAGTTGGTCCTGACACATAGGGACCGTGTCGGACATAGCAGAACTACCCAGACAGATTTCCAAAGCTGTCACGACACAAGCAGATGCCCGTGTCTTTCTCTTGTGGAAAGGCTGGTGTTTCTAACCGCCAAAGTCGCAGTTAGCAATCAAGCATGTGACCTTCTTTGGGAAGGCCACACGATTTTGTTCCTCGTTTTACAAAGTTGGCTCTGAGTCTTGTAGTATTCAGCTGTCTTCTTTACAAACATATATGACTCTAGACCTGCCTCCCAGTTGTTACTCCTGTCATTGTTGTTAAGTGTTGTCGAGGCAGCTCTGACTCCTGGCAACCTCCTTCACCACAGAACGAAGCACTGCCCGACCCTGCACCCTGCCCACAGTTGTTGTGTTTGAACCCATTGCTGCTGCCATGGTGCGGATCCTCCTCCTCAGTGGGTCTAGAATTCCTCAGGCTGAGGAAGGAGATGCCAGGCCACAGCTGTTGCAGCCATTTTGACCCTGGTTAGAAAGTACAGCACTGGTCCAAACCACTTTTTTGTTTTAAATATTTGTGTTTAAGGTTAAGATTTTACAGCCCACAAGTTAGGCTCCCATTTAACAATTTCTTCACCAATGGTTCAGTGACATTACATTTTTCACCAGGCATCAGCATTCACTTTCATTGTGTTCTGGTTGATCCATTTCATGGATTCTAGTTTCCCTGTGCCCTTACCTTCTTGTCTTTGCTTTAGAGTCATAGTTGAGCTTTTGGTCTCCTATTGTGGGTTTTTAAAGGAGTTCTGTATTCACAGGTGATGTTCTTAATTTTATGAGCCAATCTGCTAGTTAGCTAAAAGGTATTCCCAAGGGATGATGTCAGTTTAAGGAGTATCTCAGAGAGATAGTTACTGGGAGTCCTGTTGTCTCAACCAGTCTATAAGTCTGGACTTCTTGAAAATGTAAGTTCTGTTCCACAGCTTTCTCCCATTCTATTGGGGCCCTGATCCATATGGTTGGCAGTTCTTCTGGTCTCAGGGTAGCTACAGCCCTGGTTCATATCGACTGCTAGTCCGATAGACCATTCCTTCTCTGAATTTGTGGTTTTCTTCTTTCTCTCTTGCTCCAGATGAGTAGAGACCAATAGTTGTATCTTTGGTGATCCTAAAACTCCAGTAGGACAGTTGAAAGGAGGCCTAGGGGCACAACGGTTAAGCACTCAGCTGCTAACTGAAACGCTGGCTGTTCAAATCCACAGGAGAAAAGACCTGAGCCCATAAAGATGGCAGCCTAGAAAGACCCTCGGGGGCAGCTCGCCTCTGTCCCTTGGGGGTCTCTCTGAGCCAACACTGTGGAAACTCAGAGTCTGACCTTCCAGTTGTAGAGAGCAAAGATGTGCTTGTCATCTGTCAATAGAAAAATAACACCATCTGTTGGCAATGCTGAACAATGACACCGTGAGGATGGCATTGGGGGTCAGGTGTGGAATCAAGGATCGCGGGGG